AAAAAAAAAAAAAAAAATCTCTAATGTGGTCTGCTGTTGGCATTTCCTTAACTGTTTCTAAAAGGGTTTACTAAATTAGCATCAACAATATCGATAGCACTGTTAAACAGTTCCTTATCATGATGATTCCTTTCAAAAAACTCTTAGGACCCATGTTTTTTATCTAAAAAGTCCAAAAAGCCACAAAAACTAAGAAAATTCTAGCAAGATGCTTGGAACACAGCCCCCAAAGGTTTAAACAACACGTGCTAACACCAACTAGCACGGAGTGATCGAAACAAGAACTGGTTTCATTTACAAAAGTCATGTGCATCGGGTTGGATCCCGGTGTTTCGTTTGAGCTCCGGTGCAAACTTTTGTCCACATTCCGTGTTGAAATCCGATTATGCTGAGTGCTAATGCAGTCGCGTATCAGGGTTCTGTTGCATTTATTTCCAAAGCTCTTCATCACCCCCAAACAAACTTAGTACCTTTTAAGCAATCTCTCCCTGTCCCCCTTCCTCCCAACTCCTGGTCACGTCTTCTTTGGTCTCTAAGCTTTTGCCACTTCTAGATGTTTCATGTCAGGGGGATTACACACAAGTTGTCCTTCAGTGTTGCTTTATTTCAGTTGGCACATTTCCCAGGTTTATCCTGTGGTGACAGCAGCATGTCCCAGAACGCCACTTCTCTGTCTGACTGAGGAAGATCCCATGGCATGCATGTGCCACACTTTGCTTATCCATTCATTTATGGGCCGAGAGGTTACTTCCACTCTTGGCTCTTGTGACTAATTCTGCAGTGGGCATTAAGTGTACACCTATATCTTTGAGACCCTGCTTTTTGGAAGAACAAACACACACACACACACCCCACCCCAGTCTTTGTGGATCAGCTCTGGGTTGAAACGCTTCTTTCACACTCAGCCAGGTAGTTCACAAGCCTGCCTCCCCAGCCACTTCCTGATCGGACTGAGCCAATCCGTGAGCCAGGGCTGCCAGAAAGCATAGATCATCTCGGGTCTTTTCTGAGCTGCTTCCTCTCTTGGACTTGTGTATGGCTTTCTGCTTTGCCCAGTAGCCACTCATGCTGGTGCATGCTCTAAGTCCCCAGCCTTTCCTACCGACCGTATAGTCCCATCCGTCATTGAGCTTGGGGATGGCGTAGGACTGGGCATCATTGAGTGTGGGATTTGTCAGGAGATGAAGGTAGATTCAGCAGCTGCTGCCAATAACTGTCCAGATTTGTCCCCTTGCCTCCACCTCTCGGCTTCACATCTTCACCTCACAGGCATCTCGTTCCAGCGAAACATGTGCAAACAGAACTCTTCACTTCTGCCTCTGTACAAACCTGCTCCTCCCATGGACTCTCTCTCAGTAAACTTATTTAACAAATATTTATGAAGTGCTCACTAGAGCTGTGAGCAAAACAGCCATACATCCCTGTGTTCCTAGAACTTGCAGTCTTTCTGGTGGGGGACACACGATAAACAGGAAAAGAGAAATGGCACATCAGACTATACGTGGGAGGAGAGGCACCAGGGGAGAGGGAGGGAGTGTAGGGGAAAGATCTGAAGTTATGAAAGGGGGGGAGGGGTGATGTCGGGAAGGAAGATGAGCAGAGGATGAAGTCAGAGAGGTAATGAGGGCTACACCATTGGCTTTCCCTCATGGGAAGATCTTGAACAAAGGTGTGATGGGAGCAGACTCCCATTGTAATAGGAGTAGCCTGGCTGCTTTTTACAGGAGGAGACAGCTCAGAGACCCACAGGGGCAGTTCTATCCTGTTCTCTAGGGTCCTTATGAGTTGGTGTTGACTCAATGGCTGTGAGTTGGTTTGGTTTGGTTTAGCCTGGGTGCTGTGAAGAAATGGAAGGGAGGTAAGGACGCAAGTCAGGAGAACAGCTAAGGAGTTCCTGCAACAGTCCAGGTGAGAGATGATGGAGGGGGATTTGGACCAAGGTATCATGGAGGAGCTTGTAAGGTGGGCTCAGATTCTGTATCCACCCAGCTCCTCAAGACTAAACCGTAGGTCTCATCCTTGGTTTCTCCCTTCCCCTCATATCCCACATCCAATCCGGTCCTTGTGATTCTATTTCCATATCTCAAGGTCACTGTTCAGATCCATCTCCACTGCGCGGCCCACACCCTGCTACATGCATAGAATGTAGCCTAGCATTTTATCGGATCTCCCTGCTTCCTCTCTCACCCCTACAATCCATTCCCCTCAGCAGAGGGATCATTTAAAAGGTAATCATGCCAAACCGTGGGTTAGAATCCTTTAAGAGCTTTCTAATATGCAATGACAGATTTCAAATACCCACCCGATGCATCAAGGTCAGGTGTGATCCGCCATGTCTGCGTCTCCCTTCACACCCTGCTCCAGCCACTCTGGGCCTCTTTCTGTGCATCATGCTAACTGCGTTTGCACCTCACCGCCAGGCTGTCGCTTCTGCCTGGGACATCTTATCCCATTTTTTGCGTGGCTCCTGGTGGGAGTGGTTACACATTGGAATTCAAACGGCAAAGTCAGCAGTTTGAGTCTGCAGGAACACTGGGCTTTCTCCTCCCTTAAACAGGAACCAGTCTCAAATTCCCAGGGGTCGCGATAAGTTGGCATGAACTGGATGGCAGTGAGTTTGGTTTTAGATCAGAAGCCCTGGTGGTGCTGTCAGTGAGTCCTGAATTGCAAGGTTGGCTCTTCAAACCTACCAGTTGCTCCCTGAAAGATGAGGCTATCTGTCCCCAATATATAGCCAGAATGCCATGAGTTGTTGTCGCTGGATGGCAGTGGTCTGGTTTTGGTTTGTCTTTTTTTTTTTTTGGGGGGGGGGCTAGTCTCTTATCGGCTGTCAAACTTCAACCGATCTCTCCTTGAGAATGCCTCTTGGATGACCTCCGAGAGCTAGTGTAGTCCATACAGCCCACCACCTGGTGTCTCACAAAGATTTCATGGGAGACAAAGTAAGTACATCAACTTGAAGCCTGCTTACAGGACAGTAAGAGGGGGGCACTCTTGAGGCAGAAGGCTCTCATTCACTGAGACCGAGGGGCCACTGTCCCTTTTAACACTTGAATTCCATCATTATCCCGGTAGTGAGCCCCGGGATAGCTTTGGCACTGGAACTTCTGTATTTTAAGTAGAAATCTATGTCCCTGGGGTGGATACCTTCTTGTGCCCCAACACCACCCGCCCTGCCCCCCCAAGGCAGCATAAACACAACAGAACAGACTGGTTCCCCAGAGCAGCCTCTTTAGTCCCTGTCTCCTACCCTCCCTAATAAGCTCCTCTCCCGTCCCAAGGTTCCCTCAGAAGCACACTCTGATTTGCCAAGAACAGCCCAGTGGGTACACAGCTGGGCACCGATTGCTTCCTCCCCACAGCTTCTCTTCCAGCAATGGGACCCTCCCTCTGTTCCTCAACCAGCAACCACCTGCCCCTGCTCTATGCTGCATCTCGCCAGCTAAAGCAAGCTCAACATTACCTCCCAGTCTTAGGTCTGACACACGAGTGGATGCCCGGAAACTGGGGTTAGGATTTTTAAAGGCCTAATGGAGCCCTGGTGGTGTAGTGGTTACGCGTTTGTCCGGATGGTTCACAGTTCGAAACCACCAGCAGCTCGGCCGCAGAAAGACTGGACTTTCTACTCCCATAAAGTTAGAGTCGGAAACCCACAGGGCGGAGCTACGAGTCGCATTGACTCGATGGTAGTGAGTTGAGAAAGAGGGGCCCTGGTGGTATAGAGGTTACGCTTTGGGGATCACGATCCCCAAGGTCAGCAGTTTAAACCCGCCAGCCGCTCCTGAGAGAAAGACAAGGTTTTCTGTTTCCGTCCACTGCTCTGGTCTCGGAAATCCACAGTTCTGCCATGCGTCGGCATCGACTGGATGGACGCGGGGTTTCAAACGTCTTTCCTGTGGAACTCCCGAAAGATCCCACACGAACGAGGGAATTCGCCCTCTGAAGGGAAACCGGAGGCTCCGCCCGCCGGGGGCAGCGCCCCCGCCTGCGCCGCTCCGCCCCGAGTCCTCGGAGCTCCGGGAGCTTCTCCCGAGCCTGTCATCCTCGCCTCTTCCTCACGTGCCGTCTCCACTGGGAAAGCCGTGACACGCTCACTCGCCCAGCTCCGCCTCCCTCCCTCGAGTTCCCTGGACGAACCGGAAGAGGTCGCCCAGCCTCCGGTCCGTAACCCGGAAGTAGATGCTCTTCGCGGAAGCCGGCTTTGGCCCTGCGGCTGCTGCTGCTGTCGCCGCGGAGAAATTTTTAGAGCTGGCAGCCTAGGAATGGTAAGACGTCGCGGTCTGCCCCTGAGGGTTTTGAGCGGCGTTAAAGGCGGAAGGCAATTTCTCAGAATGCCTCTGGGCGTGGGCCCTCCCCGCCCGCCGCCTCAAGGTTGGGGCCCCGCCCCTGTAGCGCCCCGAAAACCTGCGCATGCGTGGGCCGGACTGGGCTGGAAACTGGCCTGAGGTGTTACGCATGCGTGAATGTGGCTGGGCGAAGGTTCCGTAGCATTGACCTGGGATTTGCCCCCTTAGCGGCTAGCCGATGGTGCTTACACTTTAGTCCCCGCGCGGGCAGGAGGGTTTACCGGACCCTCGGCGTTGGACCCCGAACCTCTGAAACAAGCCTGGCCTGACACTCCCTTCCCAGCGAGTGCACTCGGGGGAGACCGAGGGGCACAGGGCCGCGGGAGGGAATGCAGACCCAGCCTCGGTCCACCCGCAGACCTGGCCCCTTCGCCCTCCTGTCTCCCGGTGCCAAGCCTTCCGGCCGGAATGGCACCCTGAGCGCCCCTGAGGCCGGACCAGAAGCTGCGTTAAGAGCAGCCTGGTCTGATGGGGCGGAACCCGTT